GCTATTTCGGCTATAACGAAATTTTTAATGCTACATAATTGTAATTTTAGGAGATGTTCATAAAACATTTAATTACTAGCTGATTAAAAAAAGTATACTATTAATATAGCAAATTATATTTGATTCTCTCATAGTATGTATATGTCTACATAATTTTTTGCTTATGTAACGAGCACTTTGTTTACTCACTTGTTTCGTCGAAATTGAATCCATTTTTGCTTTTGACTCGGTGCGCGGTGTGAGAAACTATGAGCTATAAAATGTTGTTTCGGAAGAGTTGAATATCCGGGAAAGTTGAGTTATTGAATGTTATTGCACCCAACAACGCCCTTATTACGCTCTCCTTTACGCGTTAACATTTTTTCGGCAATTTTATTAGCATTTGAAATTGTCACAACAAAACACGCCGCCTAGTTCGAATTCTTTTTCACACATTTTTTACTACCCGTAACAGCGTTTCATTACACAAACCTCGTACCTGAGTGTTTTATAGTATCAATAACTGCACTAGAAAAAAACTAAAATAGGTACTTAAATATTATGTTAAAACCACGATTTCAATATTATTTTAATGCGATCAACATGACGTCGCGGCGTGAAAAACACACTGATAATTTCTAATTTTTGCCGTTGAAGCGCTGCGGTCGGAATTTGTTAAAATCAACTGAAATGCACCAAGCCTATACAAAATTTGGTCAATTTCCAGATTATACAACCATTTCTATCATATTCCGCTTGATTCCACCACCGCTTCACACCTCTCCCAAATCCCCACTTGACACCTCCATTTTCTCCTCTCGCACTCTCGGATAGGGACCGGGGGGGCAATCGCCTCGTTTCCCCTGCCCCGCGCTGATTGGTCGCAGCTTCCTGTGTCGACGGCGACGCTCCTTCCCATCCACTCTGGCGTCGCGACGCGCCGAACAATGGGCGATCAATTTAGAGGGCTTCCTGTTTTGATAACGCGTATACTCTTGTTGTGTTTGTTTTTGTGCCGTATTTGCCAAAGGGTGAATTTCAGATTTAAATAGCGGCGAATAATTCAGAAATAGGATGTTTGGAAGAATTTATGATGTTTTTTCATTCTTATTTAATCATTATTTAGGCATTAAAGCTGGGAATATTAATTTCGTAACAAATATATAGCATTTATGTGTGTTCTGCGCATGTAATTCATATTATAGGACGTTATAATCTACAGATCTACAGATGTAAACGAAGATGTGCCAAAAAATGTATGAGCTAATAAAGGCTTGTTAAAAAATCAGTAAAGAATAATTTCTTATAAAACTATTTGATGTGACGTTCCCCAACAAAGTTATTTGGTAATACAGGGTGGAACAAAATCAAAATGTGATCAACTCTTAAACTCAAAAACCCGCTCGCGTGATCTTTGATTTTTAGAGTTGAAGGACAACCCGAGGCGACATACTGTATACAGCTAAAATATTTTCAAGACGGTGGTATATCCCGTTATATACAGTAGGTATCAACTTATTAATTTTAAATGGAACACCCTGTACCGGGTGCGTCTCAAAAGTGGCTCACTCCTATAACTTTTTTATTTTTTCAGATAAAAAACTAGAATTCGTATGTTAGTTTGGTTCGATTTTGACCTTAAATTCTTCTTCTTCTTCTTCTTCTTTTAGAAGGCCTGTTTAGTTCCGGTTTCCTCCTCGTCTAAGCAACTCTTGCGAGGTTGACTGCCAACTGTCTTGCCAACGTTTAGGTAGTCGTCCAGTAGGTCTTCTGCCATGGGGTACGTTGTTGCGAATTATTATGGCCATTCTGTCGGGGCCCATTCTATTGACATGCTGGTTCCATTCTCTTCTTCTCTGCCTTATCCATCTGACAACGTCGTTTGTTTGGCACTTTTCTCTTATGTCTACATTTCTCTGTCTGTCCCTCAATGTGTATCCAGTTATCATTCTTAAGGTCTTCATTTCAGTAGTTCGTAGGATTCTCTTTGTTGCTGATGTTTCAGCTCTGGTTTCCGCACCATATGTCATCACTGGTCGTATGCAGGTTTTGTATATTCTTGACTTACATTCTGTACTCAAATGTTTGTTTTTCCATATGAGATATTTAAGATGTCCTGATATTGCGGCAGCTTTATTGGCTTGTTTCCTTACTTCTTCTTCCAGGAATCCTGAGCTTGTAATTTTGCATCCGAGGTATTCGAATGACATTATCTGATCAATAGTTTTGTTTTTTATTACCAATTTGCACAGTAGAGGCTCCTTTGTAATGGTCATGCATTTGGTCTTATTTGTGGAAATTTGCATGTTACGTTTTTCTGCCTGTCTGTTAAAAGCTTGTAGCATTCTTTGGAAGTCGTCCTCTGACTCTGCAATAAGTACTGCGTCATCGGCATCGCATAATATGTTTACTTTATGCATTCCCATTCGATATCCTAATCCAGTATTCTTGACGGTTTTTATTACTTGTTCCATGATTGTGTTGAATAACAGAGGGCTAAGGCTGTCGCCTTGGCGAATACCAGTTGTAGTTCGAAGATGCTGCGTTAAGGTAAAGTTTGTTCTTATTTGGGTTGTTGTGTTTGTGTTTAAGTCTTTGATAAGTTCTGTGAGTTCTTTCGAGACATTACTGCTTTTCAAGATGGTGATGATGTCTTTTAGTTGGACTCTATCAAAGGCCTTTGTTAAATCTATAAAACATAGATAGGCTGGAGAGAGTTGCCTGAATATGAATAGTGCATCGGTAGTTGATCGGTTTCTTCGGAATCCTTGTTGTTCCTCGCTTATTGGCACTATTGAGGAGATTTTGTCCGCAATGATCTTAGTCAGAAGTTTTAGCGAGGTGCTCAGTAATGTTATTCCTTTATAGTTTGCTGGGTCTGTTTTATCTCCCTTTTTAAAAATGGGTATTGTTATACTTTGTTTCCATTCTTATGGTATTTTCTTATGTTGTAATATAATGTTAAACAGTTTTGTGTATTCCTCTATGATAGCCGTGCCTGCGTTTTTTATTAGCTCGTTTGGTATTTTATCTTGATCATGATCTTCTGTATTATCTCTTTGGCTTGTCTCTTGTGCTTCCATTGGTTCATCTGTTTCTGCGTATAAGTCTCTGAAATATTTTTCCCACGTATCTTAATTATTAACAAGCTTAAATTATACAAGTAAATTACAATTCGACATACGCAAAAACAAACAGAAGCCATCAAGATGTGCCTTAAAAAATAGAGAAAATTTCAAGACTATAGGTCTATTTATTTATGATAAACCAGAGTTTTACAATAAAAGATTCTTGCAATTGTTCAAGACTGTTAAAAGGAAATACCGTACTTTCTCAGCGATTTTATTAGCACTTTACAGTAGGTAAATATCAATGACCGTTTAATTTCAGACTGAAAAAATTGCAATGAATGAACTGTGCGCTGAGCATGCAAGAGCTGGAAATGAGGAAATAATACATTTCGACGTATGATTACGAAGGGATGCATTTTTCTATGTAGCCATGCGTGCATTTTTTTTTCATCATTTCAGGTGCATATTAGTAGTTTATTGTTACTTTGTAAATTACACGCATACTACTGGTCTTTATCGCTTATTACGAGGATCGATTAATAAATTGAAAGAAATGCCTAATTTAAGGCACTATATAATACAGGGTGTCTCAATTTTCCGTGGACATGAACTACAACGTATTTTTGAAATCAAAATAAGTTCATTGAGCACAATTTACCTCTAGACAAAAGTACTTTTTTTGTCAGTTAGAGGGCATTAAACTTTAAAAAAATAAACACATTTTTTATGATGTTATAAAAACCGTATTTCCGATTTAAATGAGTTTTGAGGTGCCTATGTTTTGCTAACCTCTTTAACATTTCACAACCCTACATAAATTTTAGTACAAATATTTTCCAACTCCACCGACGCCTGAGTTATTTTTTTTAAATGGTTCTTCTAGTATTTAATACATTTTTTGTCTTTTATAATATACAGGGTGGTCCTAACTGTATTCCGGAAACTTCGGCAGGATATTCTGCAGATAAATAAAAAAAGTTCGTATAAATGTATGTTCTAAAATGCTTAGTTGTGGAGATACAGGGTGTAGAAGTTTCATTTTTATTTCGATTTTTACCAAATAATTTCTGAAGTAACGTCAATATTTGAATGAGAATTGGTGTCTGGGAGTTTTTTGACATGAGAAATTTTATTTTGATATTAATATGACTCCTATTTGTAGGAGGCACCACCTACATGTGTTTTAACCGTTTTGAAGAGTAATAACTTTTTGTCCGTACTCATATAAAACTACCGAGTGAAAAAATATACATTTCCGTGATTTTTTACGTAAAATATGTCTCTTGGTAAAAGTGGTTAAACCGTTCTCAAAATATTTAGAATGGAAATAGTCAATTAAGACAATACATGTCATTATCGACTAAAAATAAACATGTGGAGTAGATACATAGTTATTTGATTTGATTGAAATGATAAATTTGGGAAATTATGGTTTTTTTAAAATAGTAATAAATTTTTCTTTAAAAAAATTATGATAAAACAATAATTTCAGTCTAATAATTTATTTAATCAACATGTTTAATTAATTATGTCAATGATGACAGGTATTGATAATTTAGATTCCAAATACCTCGAGAACCATTACTCGTAGCAATTATTACCCAGGCACGTTTTTAACAAAAAAGCTTCGTAAATGTATATTTTTTTACTAAATATATAGTTTTATACAGGTACGGACGAAAATTTATTACTCTTCAAACCAGTTAAAATATATGTAGATGGCGTGCCCTACAAGTAGGGGTCAAAATGACATCAAAATCCCCCCAAACTTCTTTTGTCAAAAAACTCCCAGACACCAATTTTCATATTTTTTTATTTTTTAAAATATTGGCGTTATTTTAAAAATTATTTGGAAAAAAATTGAAATAAAAATTAAACCACCATGCATACCAAATCTGTGTTTTAACCTTATACTCTATTTTCTATTATACTTACCTCTTTCGTTTGCAGGACAAAATGGTGACGATTCGCTCAACTCCTCCAAAGGCTCCAGTAGCGCGATGTCGAAAAAACAAAGGAAAGCACGCACAGCCTTCACCGATCTCCAACTACAAACCTTGGAAAAGAGCTTCGAACGACAGAAATACCTCAGCGTCCAGGACAGGATGGAACTGGCCGCCAAACTCAGTCTGACAGATACGCAAGTCAAAACGTGGTACCAAAACAGGAGGTAAATATCTATAATAATTAAAATCGTTATTAAGAAATTTGTTCATCAGTTCTTATTATTAAGAAATTTGATAAAGAGACATAGATCGGCAATTTTGTATTTCTTGCCAATTCGTACTATATTAGAGTTTGTAGTGACGAGAAGTTAACTCAAGATTCTAAGCAATTTACCAACGTCCTTGTTAGATTATATTGGATTTTGAGAAATTGCTATTGGCTTGTTCCACTTTTTACTTTTACAGATCTAATACTATGTGCAAAATAGTATATATACAAAAAAACCTCATACTCGTGTTTCTGGGGTTAAAATATAATACCCTTAAAAATATTTGCACTTATTTAAGGCACCCTGTATATGTATATCTTATAGATATTATACTTTTCATGATTGACATTTTTCTTGAAGACATAAGAGCTTACATGGATTCCGATTCTGTAGAACTCCGATTCTACAACCAATTAAATATTGATATATGAATATGAAACAAAGAATTTCACTAGGGTTGAGCTTTGTTTAATACATTTTATTATTAAAGTCTTTGTAAGCAATTAACAAAGCAAACAATTTATATCTACATATTTACATATAAATGAAATAGATTATTACATATTATAACATGCAATTACAGGCATGAATTGATAACAAAAACATATTAATAATACTCTTTGTTCGATTTCTTTGATATAAATGTTAATATCGCCATATATATAAAGATATAATTATCTCCAATGCAAAAGCTTTATGCATACTGGGTGTCTCAGTACCCCTGAATCAATAAAAATACTTCAAAGCCTTACCTAAAAAATCTTCAATTATTATTGTGTTCCAGTCCCGCCATCCCCCAACGAAAATATCTGGTATTACTGATCCAGGGCCAGACTGGTCATTGGGCTCTTTATAATACCTCCAGGTTTATTTATTTTTGATGAGTTTGATGAGACACTACTTTTCGAAAAAAAAGACTATATCAAAAACGGCTGGGGAATGATAATCGATGATAATTTCGGGAAGGTCAAGCTCTAGACTTCATTACTTGGACCGTTCTCTTCTTTATTTTTTAACAGTGCTTCCTACCAGTTGGACTTGGAAGAAGGTTGTAATTTATTTTTATATTAAATAAAAATTATTTTAAATGGTATTTGTATGTCTGGAAATTTCTATATAGTCTATTATTTTTGAATATTTCTTATAATTAGTGTTAATTTGTTTGTTTTTTCGATCATACGGTATTGGCTCTACTTTAGGAATGTTGATATATTTTAAAACGCAAACACAAAATAATACTAATCAATAATATGGAATTTGTCTTATCTAAATTGTGCTACTGTACACCACAAAAAAGGTAAGCTGATAAGTCATGACAATGTTACACTAATGGATGGTACAAAGATAGAGACATTAAAAACATCTGCATACAAATATCTTGGAATGTTACAAACGGGGCAGATCAAGGATAAGGAAATGAAGACCAGAATGAAAAATACTTACCTAAAGAGAGTGAAAACAGTTTGTAAAACATACTTACCGGACAGAAAGAAGATTGCAGCAGTCAATAGATGGGCAATTCCTGTCCTTGAAATGGGCCAAAACAGAGCTGCAGTAAATAGACAGAGCTACTAGAACACTATCACAGTTCATATTGCACGATGGTGCTTCGGAAAGTCGTCTTCAGAAATCAGGTTGTATCTCCCCAGGATCCATGGAGGGAGAGGACTTATCAATGTTGAAAGAGCATGCAACAGACAAAATAACAAACTAGCAACCTATTTTATGCAAAGGGATACTTACCTTCATCGAGCAATATGCGAGATTGACGGAGATTGTATACTAGATTGCGTATTCTACAGACAGACAGATCAGTAGTTCATAAAAAGCCGGACATTGTTTGGATAGATAAAAACGAAAAGAAAGCCTACTTAATCGACGTAGCTGTAACACTAGATCACAACGTAGTCAAAACTGCAAGAGAAAACATTTCGAAGTATCAAGACTTGGCTTTCGATATGAGGCAAACCTATCATCTAAAAGCAACCCGAGTAATACCACTCATGATTTCAAGCAATGGTCTGGTTGACATTGATTTTGAAAAGAACTTAAAGGAGCTGAAGTTACCAGAAAATATCATAAGTCAATGTATTAAAGCAGCTATTTTGGGTACGGTGAACATAGTCCACAGAGTAATGAACATGGAGCCTTGAATGGAAATATTCCGGCTACACGTCATGGTACCACCGATAGAATCGTGAAAAAAAAATAGTAATAATAATCATCATCATTTTCAGCTTATTCAATCATTTTTCCAATTATGGTGTAGCCTCCCTGACATATTTAGATACTCTCTTAGTCTCAGTAGTTGGGCCCATTGTTGTCTATTGTTGGCTTTGCTAAGTTATCCCTGCTAATTTGCTAATATCATGGTCCCATCTCAGGTTCGGTCTTCTTCGAGGTCTCTTAATTCCTCGCGGGTACCATGCTGTAATTTTTGTGATCCGTCCTTCGTTCCAGGTGTCCTTCCCGTTGCCACTTGAGGGATTTGACTCTGTGGATGACATCTATTAACTAGGTCTTTTGTCGTATCCACTCTATTCTTTTACGGTCTCTCTTGGTTATTCCCAGCATATTTTATTCCACTGAGCGTTGTGCGACTTGCAGTTTCCTTATGATGTCCGTTTAAAGTGTCCAGGTTTCGCATGCATATTGGTCGAGTGCTTCCTTCTCTAGATAAAGTGGCATTCTAGCTTTGAATATGATTGAGTTTCTTCCATAAGTACTCCATGCAAACTTCATTCTTCTGTTGATTTCTGGTAGTAGAGATCCCGAACTATGTATTAGTTGTCCCAAATATATGTATTCTTCTACTATTTCCAGCGCTTTGTTATTTATTAGAATGTATTTTCTATCCACTAGTTCATTGTACATTGCTTTAGTTTTTGCTAAGTTCGTTTTGAGACGCATTTTATTGCTGGCTGTATTTAGTTCGTTAGTCTGTGCTTGAGGTTCTTCAGGACTATTGGCAATTAGGACTATGTTATCAGCGAATCTTAGATGGTTGAGATATTCTCCATATATGTTTAATCCTTTGTTGGTCCAGTCCAGTTGACAGAAGATTTCTTCAAGTGTTGCTGTAAACAGCTTTGGGGATATCGCGTCTTCCTGGCAAGGGAATACGATCCCTTGCCAGTTGGGAACTCTGGGGTTGTTTTATATATCATTACTCTTCGTCGAAAACCTTCTCAATAAAACGTAAAATAAAATAACTAAATCGTCTAGCTAAAAAAACTAATAGACTAGGACTAATTGAATGTTCCATATCTTATTTCTTGCGCACCCAGCTAAACTACAATTTCATACTATTATAAACTTTTTAATACCAGCATATATTAGCATATTCGATAAATTAACGTTAGTAATTATGTTAATTTAAACAAATTAAATCGCTTCGAGTTAATTAGTTCGAATAATTTCATTAATTGTAGCGAAGACATTAAACTAATTAACAAAACAGCGGAGATAAAGTTTGTCAAGCGATTATTCGTAATGAGTCGTTTTTAGTGTGACAGATTGAATTTATGATAAGTTAGGAAAGGAATAGAATACGAAATTATATTATTTCATATTTCAAATGTTTGTCATAATTAATACTGCTATTTTAAAACAAGTTCATCTATATAGAGTTGTATGTAGTCTGTATTGATAAGCGTTTAATGATAAAGCCCGTTCCAACGAGTCAGGGAAGATTTCGACAGACGACATCCAAAAAATGACAGAAAATTTAATTTACCCAAAGTTTAAAATGACAGACAAGTATTTATGTGTCAAGTTTGTAGTTAGATAAACCAAATCTATGTATTCAAATAAATAGTTAGATAAACCAAATCTATACAGGGTGGTCCGAACTCTATTCTGGAAACTTCGGCAGCATATTCCGCATATAAAAATAAGTAAAAAAGTTTGTATAAATGTATGTTCTAAAATGCTTAGTTTCGGAGATACAGGGTGTAGAAGTTTCATTTTTATTAATATTTTTTCTAAATAATTTATGAAGTAACGTCAAAACTTGGATGAAAATTGGTGTCTGGGAATTTTTTGACATGGGAAATTTGATTTTGATGTCAATATAGCTCCTACTGCAAGAGGGTGCCACCTACATATTTTTTAGCTGGTTTGAAGATTAATAACTTTTCGTCCGTACCTATATAAAACTACTGAGGAAAAAAAATATACATTCACGACGTTTCTTACGTAAAAAATGCCTCTTGGTAAAAATCGCTACGAGTAATGGTTCGCGAGATATTTGGAATCGAAATTATCAATACCTGTCATCATTGACATAAATTAAACATGTTGACTAAATAGTTATTAGACTGAAATTATAAATTTGAAATGTTTTTGTGCTAAAGGTTCAACAGAAACTGTTTTATCATCATATGATTAGTTAAAAAAATAAAATTTCCTAAATTTATTATTGCAGTCAAACAACTACCGTATGATCGAAAAAAAATGGCGTCCAGTTGGCTTGAAAATGACGATCGATGACATTTCCCATATAATTTTACATATAAAATGACAGCAATCTTCATTTCTTAGCCATCGCTGACGCCGTTTTTATTAGATCATACGGTATCTACTCAACGTGTTTATTTTTTGTCAATAATGACATGTGTTGACTATTTCCAATCTAAATATCTTGAGAATGGTTGACCGGAGCGATTTTTACCAAGAGACATTTTATACGTAAAAAATCGCGGATATGTATATTTTTTACTAAGTAGTTTTATATAGGTACGGACGAAAAGTTACTACGCTTCAAAACAGTTAAAACACATGTACGTGGCGCCCCCTACAAATAGGAGTCATATTAGTATCAAAATCAAATTTCTCATGTCAAAAAACTTCCAGACACCAATTTTCATACAAATATTGACGTTACTTCAGAAATAATTCGGAAAAAATCGAAATAAAAATTAAATTTCTACACCCTGTATCCCCGAAACTAAGCA